GGTGATCGCCCCAACACCTCCCGAGCTGTCTACCGATGTCGCTCAGCTTCAGAGAGACGTGCAGCTTCTACGACTCGAAGCGAAGTTTGCCAACAGAGTCAGAAAGCAGTACTTGTATCGTGAGTCTAAGCTGTGCGATGTTTGTGTCTGACGCATCAGATATCGGCCGGCTCCATCGACACACCCTTAGATTCAATTCCGACGAGGCGGAAATCCATAACTTTGTGAGTTCCGCGCAATTGCGATATGTAAGCTCACCTTCGAGGTGAATCGGCTCAAAGACCAAAACAAGACCATTGAGGGTCTCACCAAGGAGCTCGCGCAGCAACGGGCGGACGCGACGCAAGCCCAGAACAAGCACGTCAAATGGCAGGAGCAGCTCCGGGAAAAGCTTGCGACGTATAGAGAAGAACGCAAGACGTGGCAGAACGAGGCGGCGAGGATAAAGGGAGACTTGAGCGAGGCGGTCATGGCTCTGCAAAAGCAAAAAGACGACATTGCGACGATCAAGAACGAGCGGTTCAAGTTGCAGAACCAGCTCATGGAGATTGAGCCAAAGATACGACATATCGAGGACTACGAGGTGCGAATGAAGCAGTTGACGGACTCCCAGAAATTATGGTGCGTTCCGATGTGTCGCGGAGTCTCCGACGATTGCTGAAGGCAGGGACGACGACGTGCGAAGACTGAAAGAGGCCGAGTTGGAGGTGGAGAGTTGGCGCGGGAGATGCTACAAGGTTAGCAAGTCTGTCTGGGATTCAGCTGATTTCAAGGTCGAAACGATGCTTCGGGCATGTGATAAGGAACGAGATGAACAGGCGCAGAAGATCAGGTGCGTCATTGTATCATCAAGCTGCGGGTTGCGCTGACGACAGTGCGTTGGAAAGAGAGCTCGCTGCTGTCCAACCTGTCGCGCCGCCTCCACGACCAAAGAGTCCGCCAGACATGGACTTCTACATCACCATCGCCGAGAATGCCAAGAAGAGGGTCGAAGCGCTCGAGAGGGAGAATCTGGATGTGAGTATGGTGTTACGTTTTGTCCATGGGCTGATTTGTCCAGCTGCGAGTGCAGCTTGAAAAGCTGGCGAGACTGGAGACTGAAAGGAAGATTGGGGGCGAGAATATGATGAACTATCTGTTGTAACACGTTGTAACCACGATGCAAAGCACTCCAAAGGGATGGCGATCGGGGGAGATTGGAGAGCAGATCAGACGGACACCTCGGCTCCTTTGATGGATCCGGTCACGCTTTGACTTTCATTCTCATATCCCCTCTATCCCCCGTCTGCAAATGGCCACGACGTACTACGAGCTGCTTGGCGTTGGCAGAGACGCGACTGGGCCTGAGAGTGAGTGGGCTTCGAGAGAATACGACACTGATGATAGTTCGGAAGGCGTATCTGCAACTGGCGGCCAAGTCACACCCTGACAAGACGGATGACCCGGATGCGACCGCTCGCTTTCAACTGATCAACGGTGAGCTTTGCCTTGAGGTTTGTCTAAGGTTCAGAGGCATACACCGTCCTGTCCGATCCAGAGCAGAGGGCGAGATACGACGAGAAGCTCAAGCGAGCGTCCAAGGCGCCCAAGACACCTCCCCAGCCTTCCACGCCGTTGTCATCGCCTCGTCGGCATCATCACCCTTCACCTCCTCCTTGACGACCTGTCATGGTCATCCGTGTGATACGCTTTTCGTTCCCCTCAGCGCCGCCTCACCCGCCGCCCCCTCCTCCCCCGGCTCACGCGCGCCATGTCCATTGCTATGAAGCCCGGCACCCGATGGTGAGTGGGTTGTGAAGTCGGCAGGCGGGCTAACTTGGTAGCATCACTTCTACGTGCCTCACACCCCATTTGACCGTCAGATTCGTGTACACTTTTTCTATCGCCAGAGCATCGTCCACTCGGCGTTCCCTCCTCCCATCTGGACCGCACCTCAACTACCCCCTATGCCACCCGTCCATCCCCCTCCCCGGCCACAGCAGCATATTCCCACGCTAGGTCCCCCGCTCCTCACCGGAGGCTGGCCTCGACCATATCGATCACCTATCATTTAGCCTTGAGAGCGTTGTATATGCACTGTAACAGTCGTGTCGTGCTCACCTGTTGGATGTCTGGCCGTTTCTCCGGGTCCACGACCAACATAGCGTCGATCAACTTGACCAGTCTCTCTGATGCGCCCTCCGGGTGTTTATACCGCCCACTCCCGACTGCCATGGCGATGCTGGATCCTTCCACTTCAAATGGTGAATGGCCGTACGCTACCGCGTATAAGGTACATCCGAGGGACTATGTATGGTCAGCTGGGCGAGGGAGACGAGCGAGAGCATGGTCAGGACTCACCCAAATATCAACCTTCTCATCCAGCATCTTCCCAGTCTTGACGTCGAACAGCTCCGGTGCCCTGTATGGCATCGAGCAGTGCTCGCTCGCAATGTCCTGTTCGAGCAGAGCTTGCTGTCTGGTCTGTATGTCGATTCGCGCCCTGCCGTCAGTATTGATATATCGAGGCGAAGCCCACTTTGTAGTTGATCCAAAGTCCATCAGCACCGGCGACCCATCGTCCGCTATCATGATGTTCCTGTGGATTAGCCGCTTGCTCGTCGACCGAGTGGTGGGAACGCACGCAGGCTTGATGTCCCGATGGGCGTAGGGGATCAGCTCCCCCTCTACTTCCTCGTCGGACACTTCGGCAGGTGGGTACGTCGCGTTGACAGCGGGCAGTCTGTATTGGTGCATCGCCCTCACCCTTTGGGTTAGATCGCCTCGCGTCTCGACGGGATCAGAGCCGACTCACGCAAGGCAAGTCCCGTGAAACAGCTCGAGCAGCCTCCTCTCGTCTATTCTCCTGCCCGTCACGGCGTTCTCATTGATCACGTCTTGCAAGTTGCCCTTGGAGAAGTAAGGCAAGAACCTGGGGTGTTGGCAGTTGATCCTCTCTTGGCACGAGCCTGGAACACACTCACAAGTAGATGATCTTCCCCTCGCCTTCCTGCACGACAGCCGATTCGATGATCTTGATGATGTTGGGATGTTTGAAACGACGATACGCCTCGATCTCCTTCATCGCGGCTTGCACACCTTCTTGACCCGACGTGACGAGGATCTTCTTGAGCGCGTATTGTCGTCCTGAAGCGGTATCGCTGATCAGGTAGACGAAAGAGAAACCCCCTTCTCCCAGCAGCTTTTCTATTCTGTAAGACCGGCCATTGATCTTGAGCGTCGCGTCACTGTCCATTGAGCACTCATCCGCCCGATGCGACGCAGCACAGCGCGGGTCCAGCAAGACCCTTCAATACTCACGGCTTGCATATGCACTGCGCCCGTCAGTCCGCGCGCTGCACATGCACACTCACCTGAGCGAGCGTCACCGCTGCGTCTTTCGCGTAAAACTTGAGCCTGTCGAGGGCGATGGCAAAGGTGTCGTTGTTCATTTCAATGTGAGAGAGTGAGTGGAACAGGAACTCACCCTACGCGGTCGACCTTTGAAGCCGAACCTCCCTCCACCTGGCGGCCTGGCGCTTAAACGGCAACAACGGCTCGACGAACTGCCACATATCCGTGCTTGCTTGCATCGCGCCTCGAGTCGTCCATGCACGCAGCTGTCCTGCGAGCAGACTTGATAGTCTAGTTTCGGCGGTCCGGAGTCGGTATATGCATCCAGCCGATGAGAGCACACCCTACCTGTTGAGTGCATTTGCTTGGTAGATCCAAGGACAGCCTAATTGAGTCGTCTCGCTGCAGCCCCAGTGAAAAGGGAGCCACCTCCCCTGGGTCCACATCCTTTGGGCATCGCTACTCGTTGCAGCGGCGTGATCCAGCCATAGACTAGCCGCAATGGGCGTGTAGCGTCTGGACTTGGAGAAGGTCCCCGGGGTTGGGATCGGGTTGAAGGGCGCGCTTTGGGTTGTCGCCTGGTGAAGCCGTTCTGACAGATAATGCTCGCTCAGGCACACCTCGAAGCTCTTCCCTGAGGTAATGAAGATACTCCTGGGATATGCAAGGAAAAGCTCATGCTTGCGCGTTGTTCTTGCGATCCAACAAAAACGTGATCATGAAGTCGTTTGCAGGTGCCCGACCACCCTTCGTCGGGCCAACCCGGTCTCTACTGCTTCAGATATACAGAAAGGGATCAGTGGGGATCCCTGAGACCTGGGCGATATTCTCCAGTGCTGCCTTGCCCCGGCCCTTTGGTGGTATCCGTACCGCGACGATCCCCCCTTGCTGTACGGCGCAGACGTATTCGCCGCCGCCTGGTGCTCTGTGGACAAAGGGCCGCACTGCTGTTCCCCTGCCGCTTTAGGTCAAAGGGGTCTAGAAGCGCGGGAACGAGACGAGGTGCCTGAACAACGTGCAGCCCACACCGTGACGCAGATCTGCAATATGCCTACGGGTGCGCGACCGCTGGCAGCCTGTATCGAGCTCTCGGCTCTTTATGAGCCAAAGATGGCCGATTGCGCTTGGATGACCCTACACGGACGTTTGTTCCGACCAACATTGACATGACATCTTCCGGCAAGGATGTCTGCGCGGCCTCACAAGGGTATCCAACGATGGTTAGAGACAGATCGCGGGACTGACTCGACGTTGTGCCTGGCCATCCCCGCCCCTTCTCTCTGCTAGGCGTTGCTGCCCAGGACCCGATCGAGGTGACCCGGAGGTCCGTGCCCTTCATTTCGAGGATATTGAATCTGCTGAACCTACCTGAGATGGGTTCTGTCTGATCCTCAGCGACCGACTTGATCACCGAGAGCCTCGCACGGAGACTTCGCGATAAGGATTATGAGTCGAGGCCCCATACATTGTCGCACGCCTTGATGAAGAATCGGCGGGCAGATATGCGTAGAGGACACCAGCGTCGAAAGCAGCAGGGGTTTTTGTGGTTCTGGAGGGAAGAAAACCTGGAAGCGATCTTGCAGCTGCGAGCGAGCGTCAAGAGCGAGAATAAACACTGTATATGAGGCCAATTTGTCAGTGCAAAACATCGATCAAAAACACGATCTGAACGTATAGCTCAGTTGGTTAGAGTATCCGCTTCACACGCGGGGGGTCGACGGTTCGAGCCCGTCTTCGTTCATTACTGTTTTTTTTGCGCGGGAGGGAGGGGAGCTCTGAAGGTGAAGGACTTGCCTCTGTTGTTTTTGGCGGACTCGGGTTTCTTCCATGTACCCTAACTGGCCTTCATAGTGGTCCTGGTTTGCTCTATACCAAGCACCCCCCCTTCCAAGATGTAATGCATGTATCAGAGTTACATTGCGTTCAGCTTGGAACACAAGAAATGAGCTGTTTCGAACGGCAGATGACGGAACGAGGTTTCTAACTTTACTTTCATATCGAAAGAACCGCCCATTGCTGCTGTTCCTTTATGCGATTCGGCCGAATGATCTCGCTCTCCCCGACCGAATCCCAGTTCATCTTGCACCTCGACGCATTTGCACGTTCGCTGAACCCGCCGGTGGACTGCCGGATAGCAGGTGGATGGGTGCGCGACAAGGTGAGTTCAGGCAAGATGGTGGAGAGGGGCGGTCGTTGTTTCTGCCGATCATTGCCTATTGCCCAGACTCACTCTGCAGCTCTTATCGCTCCCATCGCATGATGTGGACGTGGCGTTGTCGATACCCTCGGGGCATTCCTTCGCCGTGGCGTTTGTAGAGTACCTCCGTTCTCAGGGGATCACGACCGGGTCGGTGGGCAAGGTGGCCGCGAACCCGGAGCAGAGCAAGCATCTGGAGACGGGCACGACTAAGATTCTCGGCTTGGAATGCGACTTTGTCGGGCTGCGGAGCGAGACGTACACAGATACGCGTATACCAGAGGTCGTGCGTCCTTCCTCCAGTTACCCTCTTTCGCCCCGTCGTCATACTTGTCACTGACGCTGCAGCGCCCTGGGACCCCGCTGGAAGACGCCCAGAGGAGAGATCTAACGATCAACGCGTTGTTCTACAACGTCCATTCCCGCCAGGTCGAGGATCTCACCGGCAAGGGGCTTGACGATCTTCAGAATCGAATCGCTCGGACACCTCTAGCCCCTTTACAGACATTCGACGACGACCCGCTGCGAGTCATCCGGTGTGTCCGCTTTGCGAGCAGATACGGCCTGTCGATCGAGCCCTCTGTGGCCGAAGCGATCCGGAACGAAGAGATCAAAGCGGCGTTGCGGAACAAGGTGTCGAAAGAGAGGATTGGGATCGAAGTGACCAAGATGGTGAACAAGACCCCATACGAGGCTTTGGACTTGATCCTGGAGCTCGACCTGCATCGCTCGGTCTTTACTTGTTCGGTCGACCCGCCGCGGGATGAGGTCCGACCGCACTGTGAGATCCTCAAGCGTCTGCCGGACACGCATCCGTACCACTGGCTCGCGGCTGCTACGACGCCTTTCAACGGGATCCAGGTCCCACTGCATGGTAAGAAGGGGAAAGAAGTCCCGGCCCCCGCCGAGGTCATCAGCACAGGTCTCAAGGTGAGCACACTCGTGGTATAGAGGGTCCGAGGCACGCTGATGGAAAGTTGGGGAACGATGTCAGAGACGGCGTGGTCAGACTATTCGAAGCAGCCAAGATCATCGACCCCTCGGCTACACAGCGTTCCACCATCGGCACGATGCTGCAACATCCCTCGGTCAGGCCGTGGGAAAGGTCCATGGTGTGGGCAATCGTCTCGGCCATCCGACCGCACTGGCGAGGTGAATGGGATGAGAGCGCACAGTCTACCCTCGATCGATACCAGGCGTTCATCAAACTCATCCACGACCTCGACCTGCCTCGGAACATTGACAGGTCGCCCGTCCTTGATGTGAGTGCAGGTTCAGGCGAAGCCCGGTACAGCAGGCTGACGCGCCAGGGCAAAGCCGTCCAAGGTATCCTCAACATCAAACCGTCCCCTGTCCTCTCTTCGATCCTCCGAGCGGTCAACATATGGCAATTGGACCACCCACAAGGCACGCCCGAGGAGTGTGAGACGTGGCTCAGGTCCAAATGGGAGGCAGGGGAATGGGCCGAGGAGGTCGCGGCGTTGGCTGCCAAGGGGGAGAAGAGGAAGCGATGAGCGGGAGCGTAGAGGGGGTACGCGAGTCATGAGGCAGCATGTTTCTACACCATACACCACACCGAGACGACCTTGATGCACACTCATGTCGACGACGCCCAACGTCCTCTCCGCTGACGCCCAACAACCTTTCCGCTTGGCGCGCTGACCCCCGAAAGCGGGGACAACCTCGCAAAGCTGCGCGTTATATAATACATGTGACCTGCGTCTACACCTATCCCGGCCTCTAAGCCCGCTTGGCCAACTTCCACTTTGGCACCTTCTCCTCTCCCTGTTGGTTCCACGCGTTCATCTTCTCGGCGCCCTCTGGGGGCTCCTGCTTCGCCTGGGCCCGCAGCGCCTGGACCTCGGGATCCCGCCACGTCGTCAAGACGTTTTTCAGCAGCTCAGGCGGCGCAGCACCGGGGAAGATCTTGAGCCGGTCTAGTCTTTGCTTTCGTAATGAGTTTTTCGGCAACATGCCCTTGACCGCCCGACGGATAATCTGGTCGTCAGCAAACGTCCCTCCCATTTTTGACGGAAGAGATGGTGTCAGGACAAGTCTCCACGTACGTCTCCTGGATCTCGCTCACGGATCTGCGTGATGGGGATAAACTTCTCTCCGCCGTGGAACCCCGTGTGCTTGAAGTACGTCTTGTTTGTCCAGCTCTTCCCCGTCAATTTCACCTTGAGCGCATCCTCCACAATCACATAGTCGCCCGCGTCCACTGCCCCGTCAGCCTCCTGTATTCCGTATCGTTTCCCTTGCGCCGCGCTTTATCGAAGCAGTGATAGACCTCATGACTTACCTGCGGGGTGGTACGTCGGCTTGTGCTTGCCCATCAGGACGTGCGCGATCCGAGTTGCGTGACGACCGAGGATCCGGTCTTCACAGGTCGTTCGGTGCCAAACCCGATGCAAGGCGAGGATAGACTGATGGTCAGTGTCATCACCCCACACCCTGTAGTCGCTCTGCGCACCGTGCCCTCTCTCCAAGACATGTTGCGTGCGTTTTTCGATGAATAAAGATGGTCGACGGTATCAACGTCAAGAGTATCAAAGCACGAACCGACATCCCCTCGTCGATCTGATTCCGAAATTTCGAATGTGGCACTCTTAGACGCTCACACTACCCTCATTCGGGCCAACCTCACTCAGCATCCCTAACATCGACTGTCCTGCTCTATATCACCAATGCATACAACATCAACCCCCTTGATCTATCCCGACACAGTCTACACGCCCGAACGATGCTCTCCCAAAATTGAAAACACAACAAGCGCACCAGATCCAGCAAGTACGCTCACGATCCCCCCAATCATCTCCGCTCGCCACGACCCGAGACTCCAGCCCTCGCGGCCCAGATCCGTAGAGTTCACCCTGTCCACTGGCTCCACGACTTGCGCATGAGGGACCGCACGCGCCGCCTCGAAGACTGCCAAACCTAGCAGGACGACGGCAGCAGGCCACAGTAAGAACAAAACCGCCCTTTCGAAACGGCTCTTCTCGCGATGCGATGGTCGACTGAATATGATAGAGACGAAAGCTTGGATCCGAGACAACGCTAGCCGTTGCTGCAGTAGTGGCTGTTCGGGCAAAGGTTCTTCCAAGCGCCGTTGGCGGGATGCCAACGAAGACGGCAGCCATGTGCCATGGAGTCTAGCCATCAGTCCCTTGCAGGGAAAGAGATCTCCGCACTCACCCATAAGGAACCCGTTGAGGCAGTTTGACACGAGCGACGACTGCGGGCATACCCTCTCCCATCCTCTTGGCGTCAATGACCCAGAGCTCCGACCCCGCATGCCGTCCCACCGACGGCGTTCCGTCTGGTTGCAGATAGCTCTCGTCGTACACTGAGATGAGCGATGCAAGCGAGCAAGTGCAAGACGGGACCTCACCATATGTCAAAAGGTAGCCGTCATCTTCATCAGTCGCCATTGCTTTCGGTACGAATTTCGTTTCCTGCGCGAACCATCCCTCAGGACAGGCGAATATCTCCACCGGGCCTCTCCGATCCGGGAGATAGCTCTGTATGATCTCCATCGATGTCCGACCGTCAACAGGGTCATCGACTCCATTGCCCATCTCCTTCCCTTTCTCAATCAAGGCTTTCACGTCGATCTGCACAAGACAGTCCACTTTAGCCGCCCCTCCCAATCTCTCGTCGAAAGAACCGGATTTCATCGTGCACCCGTACACGTATCTTGTTTCCATCATGCCCAGGTCGGCCGGGACAGTCGGGAACTCGAAGGGGATGGAGATCAGAGGGAACGAATGGGTGATGGATCCCTTGGTTTCCTGATTCGGGGGTATGGCGAAACGGTAGTAATGAAGTCGAACAACATCATCTTCGCCGGCGATCCTTTCCACCTCGGGGACGTCGACGGCTCCTGCGGCGTATACCAATTTGGCACTCTTGAATCGGCAGCCGAGCATGTTCACGGCTGCGACGCGATCATCCGCATACTCGTCCCATGCGTTCGCGGTGTGGAAGATCAAACTGGGCTCGGGCTCGGTGAACCGGATGGGTTCTCGAGGCGTTTGAGCGGAACGAAGCAGGCGAGGGAAGACGACAAACTCGGAAGGCAAGGTCCGATCGAAATGTATAAGGGGGACGGGGGGCATTGAGAAGAGGTTGGCCGGGGAGAGGGTCAATGGGAGGTTGAGCAGGATCGTATGCGTTCTCGAGGCGGCAAAGTCGTGCATCCTGAGAAGTTCAGTTGTGGGTATAAAGGCTCAACTTACATTTTGGCTCGCCCAACATCGATGCCTTCTTTCCATACCAGATGCCGGCCGTGCCTGTCGATGACAGAGTAACGGACGTGAGGCGAATCGAACATCTGGGTCGAGTAGAAGATCAAGCTACCATCGACGGGATCGACACGCGGATGAGCAGTCATCCAATCCTAGGGAGTCAGCTTTGCATACACGCCCAGACCTACCTCTTGCACCCGAGGCAATGTCCATCGCTTCCACCACTCCCATCGGCCTCTTCTAACACTGAGACTCTCTCCATGGTCGTCACGGAGTCTGTCCCAATCGACAGTCTCA